TATCCGAAAACAGCAACACTGGCTGAAGCGGTGCAGTATTCAGGTGGCCTCGCAACCTCGACGTTTGGGACGTGGGTTCGATGCGCAGTGCAGTCACGAACTGGGATTTTTCGCCGCTCACAAGTGAAACTCGAAATAACTTCGGGCTATGCATAATCTACATTCATTCGTTGCGGTTAAATGTGCAATGTTCGACGGAAAGGCATGGCTGAATCCTTCTCGCGATAGTAACCAAGGCTCCGCAGAAGGAAGGCGGAGCAACCCTCCTGTGTGCGACCTTCCTTCTGATTGATGACCCCGGCTGGTTCGTCCCGAAATTATACCGTGGAAGGCCAAGGAGGTGCAAAGGACCGAGTTCAGATTGAAAGCGCATGTTGGAAAAAAAGACGAAAAAAAGAAGAAAAAAGCAAAAACAGACAAGAAAAGAAAAACAAGAGCCGTGATTTGCACCTTGCGCATACACAACACACTGACTGGTGCTCGCGGACACAAGATACAACGCACATTACCCTGAAAATTGCTTGTTGCATCCTACTCCCATAAGGGTGCCACCGATAGCACCACCGACGAAACCAACTACCCAACAACTTCCTTTGCACCTTCCCAGAATAACATACAGATGCAGTAGATAGATGCACAACAAGACGGCCACCAAAACTGTTTTTGTTGAGCCTGTTCCCCACGGGGAAATATCGCTGCATGCCGCTCAGGAAATTGTGGAAATACGGGTAGCCTTTGCGGACGCAATGGATTCATCGCTACTCTATCTTACACTATTTCTTAGATGGACATGGATTCGTTGGGTCATGTTAGGAAAACATAGAAAAAATGAAACAACGGCCTACAGCACATATATATATAACTTACATAAATATTTGTTGTGAAGAATCACTAGACTAGGGGGGAAGATCAGCCCCCCGCTCCCTACCTTATGGGGCGGGTGGTCAGAATGCGTGGGATGGGTGCGGCGTTTCGATAGGTAGAGGAAGTACACGCGATGATGATATCGCTGCGCAAGAAGGATAATAAATGAAGTTGAATTAGACGATGTAAGTTCCACCCGTCCGTCCGTTGCAGTCCAGGAACTGACTAGAACGTCTTAGGTTCGCCATAGATATGCGCATTTGCTAGTGCACAGGACGCCGACGCGTCGCAGCGGTCCTAAGTGAATGTAAAGGAAGTACACGCATGTGCGAAGTATGTGTGGGACCTCATGTCAATCGTACTGCCATATTATCGGAAGTGCTTGATGCACGTACTCTGTAGATAAAATAGAAGAGCCATTGAGCCAGGACGGTATGCACTATTAGCCCCGGCGACCACAGCGACCGCTACACGACAAGACAATTTGAAATCGAGACAAGGCCGAAGGCGTGGGTACTTGCTTGTAGTTAATCACGAAATAGAGAGCAAACCCGTAAAGTGGGAGGAAGACGGCAACTGTAACCGAAGGAAATATTGCAAGTCAAGACACGGCGGAGGAACGGGGCTGTCGGTTGTAGAATAGTACCGGCACTGCTTGTCTAAATCCAATGCACAACGACAATCAATCCACTGCATGCACGGCAGCCTCCCAAAATGTGTGCACAACAACGCACAACTACAGTACTGTTGTGATACTGCTGTACACAGCAAACCCAGATGACATTGTGCAAAACAGGAAGACCCCAGGAAAGCAATAGATTACATGTCGCAGCAAAATCACCACATCCCCTTCGACTGAGGTTATATCTCGAACGGATAGACTTTCTGTGAGGTTACGTTTACTTTCTAAAAAAGAAAGAGCGACGCACCACACCCGAACGCACCACGCCCACGACAGGAAAAAAAATCGAAATGGAACGGAGGAAGGGATCCAACGCGAAGTGCGAAATGCGGAGAATGTATGCAGTAGTAGCCCTTGAAACAATGAACTCCTATCCCCCGTGAGAAAGGACGAACACCCAACGTGGGGTGAGAACGGCAAGGGGAAGCGGGAAGTGGTATCCCAGACACAAGAATGAGAGAGGCTGTACAACCGCAATGGAGCCCTTTGGGCATGAAACGATGGTGAAAACGCAGACGAAGGCCGATGTACTATTCCCGAAACAACACAAATCGAACGTGGGGAAATGCGACAAAGAGGGGAAATCGCCCTTGGTCGAACGCATGCGTCATGTGCAGGTGTTGCTCGGAGTTGTTAAGACGATGTGCCCTGAGGGTGGAAGGAAAGTGAGACATGACGGAGGGGAAATAGATGTGGTTGAGGGCGGCAGGGTAGAGGCATGTGAGGCGATGAGCAGGAGGTGGGTGTTCGTCGGAAGAGGCGTGGAGCGTTCTGTAGACATTTTGAAATGGCATTGCAATCGATGATGTTCCGTACTCACTCGCGAAAGACGGGGATGGGAACGTCCGCATGCGAGGGACTGGCGTGGGAGGTTATAAACTAGTCTAGTGAGAGATGGAATGCCGCACTCGCGCACAACTGAAAAATGAAAGAGAACACAAGAGCACAGGAAAATGCACACTCATGGTCGTTACCCTTGGATACAAAGTAACATCGGACGTGATACGCTGCAAGCGAGGGTTTTGCCGTCGACAAGTTGTGTTACACGCCGAGGTGGCCGTCATCGTCGTCGGCGTCGTCATTGCTCGTTGGCGATACTTTCCCGAACACTACCGCCCGGGTCGTTCATGGGTGGGAAAAAGTTTGACCGTTATGATTCACACACGGTGCGAGGATGCGCTCCTGTAGTGCACAAGAGGGCACCCACGAAACCATATACGGTAGCAGTGTCAAAATCCCAGGCGTTGGGCACGGTGTGGAAGGAGGTTCACCGTACGACGGGTGGGAGAACGTGCGGAACGCAGGGGCATGATGTCATGTACGACGAATGCAACAAGTGTTTTTACACGTATGCGTAGTCTATGCACAAAACAACTGCCGGCATAACCACACGCTGGCAGCGGCGGGGGCAGACTAAATGCAATTTCTGGCGGCTGTTTTGATCTGACACTATTGTCACACCTTGCTACCCCACTGCGCAAACAGACATTCCTCCGCATTCCTTCTAAAGTGAACGAACGGTACTGGAATTCAACTTTCCTGACCCACCCACCGTTGTGTCCAACACTTTTGCTACATCTCGAATATTGGGGCAAACGTTACGTGTAGCCTATATCCTAACGGCCGCAGCTCCTCCCGCTCGCGCACGCTTATAAATTGATAAACAAGGACAACATGACGAACATGACGAAGCACTTCGAGCAGCGCAAGGTGGTTCACGAACAGGTCTTGAACATGGTCCGCAGCAAGCTCGACGAGTCCCCCTTCAAGGATGGCGAAACGGGCGGGCCGTACTCTGCTCGCGACATCGGTCGCCTGAAGGCGCTTGACGATGCGGTGCGGGGTCTTGGCGACATCGACATCGACGGCAGGAGGGTCGACGTGACCCTGGACATCTATTGCACGGCGCGCTGCTGAGCGCAGGCATCGACGCAGGCGAGAGGGAGTGGGCCACCGTGCTCACGAAGAACATCGCCAACCTCCGCAGGCTGAGGTCCAGCCCATGGCACGAGGTGTCGTTGCTCTTGAAACTGGTTGTAGTTGATGTGGGCGGCGACGACGGCGACGACATAGAGGGCGGTGACAACGTCAACACCTTCGACGGATCGGTAAGAATCAGCGTGACGAAAGGCCCGGCGTACGCTTGTTTGGCAGAGGGTGGCCCAACGATCCTGACTTGGGAGCACGTTCCCTGCCGGTCGTCTACATGAGAGCGTATACAGCACTTTCGAACGACGTGTCTATTACCCGCTTGCACGATATATCTGACTCCCTCCCCGATGCAAACCCCACCGCCTCCCAGCCCCTGTGGGGGAACCCCCCTTCTCGGGCTGAAGTCAGGATTATCGAGGAGTTGTACGCGGTTGGCGACGGGGCACCTCCCATCCGCCGGCAGGTGCTGGGCGCTCGTCTAGGCCTGGACGTTGCCGACCAGCTCGAGGAGATGGGGATCTACGACGCCAGCTCCATGAGCCTTGAGGATACGCGCGAGCTGATCGAACTGGCCACGGAACAGCTGGAGAGCGAGGAAAAGGAGGCGGCGGCGAAGGTCGGCGGGGCAGGCGCGAAGGAGGAACCCGACGTTGGCTACACGTCACGCGCTCTTCCCGCCGTCGCCGCCGTGGTATCCAAGGTCGCCCCTGCCGTCTTGAAGGGCGCGCCAAAGCTCGCGAGCCTCAGCAAGCTTACCAAGGTCATGCTATCCGCGTTTCTTTTCCTTGTAACGGATGGTGCCTCGTACCGATTCCCCCGATTCACGATCTTTTTCTCGATTAGGTGACTTCGCCCTCCTGGGTTCTACTTCCTTCGTGGTACATCCCGTTCATTCCGTGCTGGACAACCCGTCCGTCCACGCACGCGGTGTAGTCGGACGTGCCGCTGTCTCAACCCCGCCGTGTGCATGTGAAATGCCCACGGCCGTCTGATGCTTTGTAGGCGGTCGCCTTCTCGAGGTCTTACCTTTATGCTAAGCGGTCTACCAAGGGAGATGCACGGCCCGCGAGTTATGCGTGGGCTTGCCACTGCGGCCTTCCATAACCCATTCTGTTTTCCCGACGGCCAAAACTTGGCCGTCCTAACGATGCGAGCGCTCATATCTTTCCCCTATCGTGTCGTTTCCCGAAACGTTGCGTTTCTTTTTGCCGCAGCTGGGCGGAAAGAGTGGGATCAAGAACATGGGCAACAAACTGAACGCAATGGTTTCCAACGGAGGTGGAGGTGGTGGCGGCGGCGGCGGCGGCGGCGTCTCCGGAGCCCTGGACAACGCCAGCGGCGTCATCGACTCGGGAAACAAAGTTCTCTCCGGGCTCGTGACTGGGATCGAGACGGTCGGAAAGATCAGCAGCCTCCTCACCCCCGACGTCGAGAAAGCAGTTGAGTCCATCCAGCTCGAGCAAGCCCGCGCACAGGCTAGGATCGACAGCGCCCGCGAGGACCTCGAGAGAGTTAGCCTCGAGGGAACCAACGAGGAGGCGCTTGAGGAGGTGCGGACGGCCCTCGACAAGGCGATCGCTGCGGTGTCTCCCACCGACGGGTTCCTGGCCCCGATCGCCCCTGGCAGCGCCGAGTCACTGCAAGCTGCTCTTCAGGGCCAGAGGCTCACCCTTGGTGAAGACAACTTCGGCACCGGGTGAGGGGCTGTAGTTGGCATCGGTGGTGTGTAGCTAGCGCAAGTCGATCCAGATAGCCATAATCCTCGTTTGGGTGAGGTGTTGTTTGGTGATCTGTGAGGGGCTGTAGTTGGCATCGGTGGTGTGTAGCTAGCGCAAGTCGATCCAGATAGCCATAATCCTCGTTTGGGTGAGGTGTTGTTTGGTGATCGTCTGGCGCCAGACGATCACCAAACAACACCTCACCCAAACGAGGATTATGGCTATCTGGATCAACTTCCTCCTCCATCTGGTCGATACCGTAGCCCTGCCCTGCGATAGTGCGCACAGAACACCAGGAGCGGGAAAACGAAGAAGAAAAACAACAGTCTTGTTCGCATACAACGTACGATCACGGGGCCAGGGAATACGACCGCCCACGTCCCAAGCGTTTCCACGCAGGAGCCAAAGCGACCATTGAAGTCACCTTAGCACGATCCACAGCCCGCTGTTTGTTCTTGGGCATCGCTGCTTGATATCGCGCATCCTACTTCGTCCAAACCCTCTTCGATCCGTCGAATGGAAACCGCGTCCTTCTTACGCCAGGTCTTACGCCTCAAACGAAGAGCTGGTCGCCAAGGCATCCGGGGGCGCTGCGTTGTACGGGATGAATTTCTTCCCCACGACGGACGACATTGTGTCGAAGCCCTACACTCCCATCCTAGCCGCCCCTTCGTACGTGGAAATGTGAGTCTGCGAGCGAGCGATCGATGAGGCGACAAGTTCGGCGAAAATCCGTAGTCGCGATTGAATGGTACCCTCCTCACGCTGTTGACCAGAGGAAGGCATGACACACAAGGGATGCGTGGTACTTGGCATCCAATAGTGGACTTGGCATCCTAAAGTGGGTTCAATGGGTGCATGAATGAATGAGAGTCAGAGAGTCACACAGCAGAGAATCAACGTTCGTTGTACCGAGACATGTTGAATGAAGGTATGGGCTATCGCACGTGTAAAATGCCCCCCCTGACGCGCCTCTCCCCGGTGTTTGCCATCGGGGTTGGGTTTTCGTCGCTAGGCAACAACGGTGTAATTCACACACACACACAC